AGAGTTGAGTAGTGAAAAACAAATTTTTAAAACAGAGAAAAAAAAGTACCAAAGTGTCAGAAACATACCAAGACATCTTATTACTCCGTTGTCAACATAACAATGTAAGAACATAAGCTTTTTCCTTATTCCTGTGCCCTGCTCCCATTAAACTTTGTCTTTTGAATGCAGTCCTCAGGGGTTTGCATGGAGAATTCACCCATGCTTGCCCTGTTGTGGCAATAAATAACAGAAAATTTGTCCCTGGGGGTACTTGAGCATCTCTGTGTCCAGATTGGACCTCTTTTGGAGGGTTCTTGGGGTGAGAGTTTTACTCCTTGTAGAAGGATTTAGCAAGGAAGAACTGGTGCAGAAGGCTGGGAGTGAGGAGGAATACAGGGTGTCTGCCACCCCTAATCACAGTGATCATCCTTCTGGAAAAAATGGAAGGACTTTTTTGTTTTTTCCCTTTGATTCTAAAATGTCTGTATCTGTAGTTGAAACTGTCCATAATTCATGTTAATGAGTAGTTGTTTTGTGATCCTGCTAAGCCAGGACCAATAAAGGGTGGAGTATAGGCACTTTATTGGTGATTCCATCACCTCTCTGCATAACTTTTGCATATATATATGTATTTATTGCAAAGGGCAAAGTGTGTCATCTTATAAGGTAAAAAAGATGGAGAAATGTAATGATCGGGTAATGGGACAAGTACTCGTTCTGAAGTGAGTCTGAAAAATCACTGGATGTGGAGATACCATGCCAAGTGTCCTGAAAAGAGTGGATTTAGGATAGTAATTAACTGCTGGTTGAGTAAGAATTACAAGATCTCAAAACAAATTACTGTTATTAGCAGAAGTATTTGTTCTCATGTCAAGCTGTCATCCTGCTTCAGTGTTTAGCCTGATTCTGCCACGTGGAAAAAAAATTATGTCAGATACTGTGAGTTTGTGATTTACTTTTAGGGTTTTTTTCAGTGTAATTGTCTCCTAAAATGGCAATCATTTTTTGACCCTACCCACTTTAAACCAAACCTGCAAAAGCAAGGGGACTTAAAAAAGCTAATGGGCTTTTTGGGCTTTGAAGACACTGTATGAATGAACACTGGATCTGAAACTGCAGGATCTGTGGAAGAATATTACTGGATATAAATGTGTTAGCCTATACAGAGCCGACTTAAACCAGCTTGTCACTGCAGTTCTACGGGTTAAAGCCCAGTAAATACCCTTTGATTTACACCTCTACTCTGCTTTTAAAACAGAAGTTTAGAAGGACTTGTAAAATAGTGTGGCTTAGGGATCCCAGGCATGAAATAGCCCTTTTGATTGCAGCTTAAGTGTGATCTGTATGTACAGCATTTAACCCCACAATTAGCTGTTTGTTATTATGTGCTGAATACCACAACAGCAACAATAAGAATGTATTTGGTGTGTAACTGGCACTTATTCTAGGTACCTGTTAGTTGATAACTTTCTTGCAGTCTTGAGTAATGCCAAAGATTCCTGGAGCCTGACATCCTCATAAACTGTGGACGGGACCAATCTATAAAGTCATGTGGTTTTAAACAATGTATTGGTCTTCTGATAACAGTTTTATATTGAATTGTGATAGCTCAGGATATCCTTCAAGCAGGTGGCTGTAGTTGGAGAAAAAAAAGTAGAAGATTGAAAAAATAAAGCCACGTAGCTCAGGAGGAAAGAGGAGACCAACTTGTCTCACCTGGTCCCCTTGGTTTCAGTAGGTCAGTATCATGCTGTAACATCATAGTGTTGGCCCATTGCTGAAATAAGACTAAACAGCCTTAGCCTTAAAGGCATGGGAAGCATGGTGTAATTCAAATATGAGTCATACTGTGGAAGAATCATCTTTATTTAGCTTACAGCTCCACAGTCAGTACATGTTTTAAAACACTTGCAGAATTTTTTTGTTTATTTAGAAAGAAGCCCAAAATGTATTACTCTTCAATGAAGAGGCGTTAAAGGAAAAATTCTATCATGGACTAAAGATCAGAAATTCAAATACCAGAATTTTCCAAAAGTCAATGATACATGCTTTGTCAGTGAAACATAGATAACTCTTAATCCCAGGTAACTTCTATAATTAAATCTTCTTGGATATCAATAAGTATTAAATGCCCATGTACTTCAGGCTTACTTTTCAGTCCCATCCTCTCCAGAGCTCATGTTAGCAGTAATCTTGGTTTTTAGTCTTTTGGGGTTTTTTTGTTGTTGAGTTTGTTTGGTTTGCATTGTGGGGTGGTTTTGTTGTTTGTTTTGTTTTGTTTTTTTAAATGAAGAAGTAACTGTTGCCAGACTTACAAGATAAGCATCAATAAGAAAGTAGTTAGCCACAGAGCATTCAAGCCTATGGATGAATGAATCATAAACAGAAATATTTTTCTTCCTCTATCAGGCAGTTTAGGCTTCTAACCTTAAGGCCAGCCAGGTGGCCAAAAAGCGAGCAATGGCTTTTTACTTTCTTCTGGTCCATGAGCTTGAGTAGCTCTTCAGACTTATAATGATGTCTACTGTCCGACTTCGCAGTTTCTCTGGAACTGTGAGCTTTGTGAAAAGCTGACTGCTTTTCAAATAAAGCTGAATATCTTTTTTGACACGTGCATGTTGTGGGGAAGAGAGTGAGGGAATCCTTGCTTTTCCTCCCTGTAAGCAAGGGCCAGAGGACTGTGTTTGCACTTGTCTGCAGCAGTGCAAACACCTAAGTCCATGCTCCACTCTGGCTGGCTGCCCACAGTGCAAAATTCCTCGGACCTCAGAGATCAAACCCAGAGCCACTGTCACTGGAAGAGCTGTCATGGAGTTGAACTGAACCAAGCAGAGGGTTGATGTACGTTATGGTATGCTGTCTAGCCCTTTGCTGCCACATTGGGATGACACAGATCTCCCAGAGGTCCTGTGCCTTGTCTGCCAGTCCCACATGAATGTCTTAGGTGTCCAAAAGAATCTCAGATAGCACTAGCTGACCAAGTTTAGGCAGTGAAGCAGGCCTTCCAGCCTGTGTGTAATGGGGAAGAGGATATGGTGCCGTCCAAAGTACTGCTCTCTCTGCTGCGGTTTGTAATAATAATGTGTTGGGCCCTGTCTGGTGAGCCTGGCCCTTAACAACTTGGTGCAGAATTGGGGACGAAGGGGGATGGAATTTAAGGCAAGGGGTTTTTTTCATGCAACATAAAGTCATCTCACAAGTTCATAAACTGATTGCATAAAATAATGAACTGTGAAACTTGAATAGTCATTGTATTGTAACATTGAAATAAACAAAACCTCAAAACTTAAAAGACTGTTGATTGTGTCTCTCAGTGTTTACTTCTCTCACTGCCCATGGCTGTGTTCACAGGCATTCCAGCTAGTGATGCCTACTCTAGAGTTCCTTTCTCAGAGTTCATAGGAGAGGATTAATCTCTGCCCTGCCTTCTGCAGGTGACATTTAGCCTTGACCAATTGTGTGTCCCAGTTCCAGACAGTTTGTCACTCGGGATTCTGTATAGGGTCAGCATACTAATGGTGGCAGTGGTGACCCAGCAACATAAAGTATTCTCAGCTGATCAGCCCTCTAAATTGAAAAATCATGAGTGTGATTTTTCCCTTACAACATTTTATTATCTTCATTTATTGCATAAAACTGTTGCAGATCGGTTATCATCTTCTATTTTCTGTCTGTCATGCATTCCTTAATTGCTTAATTACTTTGTCGAGCTATTTGGCACATGCTCGTTCTCCAATAATAAAGTATGGTGCATTGAGTTCATGCACGAGATGTACAACTTTGAGTGATTCCCACTTGGCACTTTGTTATTACATGATATCCTTTTTGTGGGTGATGCATCTTCCTAGAGATCTGTCAGTTGTAATTAATTAACGAGTAATACAGGTTAGCTCCTCTTCTGGGTACTGGGTGGAATTATACTTGCCTACATGTTACATCACTGTGTAGATAGTCAAGCCTGCTAGGCTTAGCTTTGATTTAACTGCTGTTCTAAGTCTACTTTAGAGGACTCCACTTCTTCAGTTAACAGAATAGGCTAACTTCAGAAAATTTTTTCATTGGTATCATTCTGTGAATTCTTCATACAGTGAAATACACCAAGAACAGAATTGCTAGGGAATCCTCAGCAAAAGATTAAGGAAGCTTAAAAGAAAAACTCAGCAGTATTAGAAATCCTGTTCTTGCTTTAACTCAACACTAGACTCCTGGAGATTTCTGTTCTGAATCAGTGTGTAAATCTAGCAGCAACAGGCTTATGCACCAATGATAATGTTTCAAAGTCAGCAGTTTCGTGGAGTTTCTTCTAGTTTGTTACACAATCATAGGTTTTTGTTCCTCAGTACTTTCTCACCTTCAAACTTTTCCTACTTAACAAGATGATACAATAACTGCACTTCTTGATATTACTGTATTTAATCAGTGCTTTTAATACTAAAAACCAAAGCAGTGTCCTCAAAACCAGTAGTGTTTTAAAAGCTTTAAAAAAACAAATTTGAGGATGGAACAAAATTAATATTGATAGATCATATAGACTGGAAGAAACTAAGGACTGTCATGTTGCAGAACAAAAAGTAATTGTCCTCAACATGCATGTGGAAGGAGAAATCTAGAAACTATTCCTTTTCCCCAGTGATCACTGATGCACATATTTGTCAAAAATCGAATGGTCTACACAGGTGTTATCTTTTACTTAGAAATATGCTGAAATGTGTGAGTATATGTGTATGTAAGTATGATCACTATGTAAGTATGTACTTACTTATGAAAGTATATACTTTCATAAGTATGTATGTACTTTTGTGTGATGTAAAGCGGTATCTTAACCTGCCTTCAGGTATTATTCTAGATTGCATAAAGAGCTGTAATGTCCTTTAGTGAAGTTAGTAATTTGGAGGTACAGCTGTTCTTCCACATACTAGTAAATAGAGACTACTCAGCTCTAAACTTCCTTGAACCAAACACTCATCTTCATTCTTTGCCTCTTTTTTCTTTTTTTTTTTAATTTTTTTTTTTCCCAGTGGGCAGTTCGCTGTAGTGAAAAAATGCCGTGAGAAAAGCACTGGTCAGCAGTTTGCAGCAAAGTTCATCAAGAAACGGAGAACGAAATCCAGCCGGCGTGGAGTGAGCCGGGAAGATATTGAGCGAGAAGTCAGCATACTAAAAGAGATTCGACATCCTAATGTGATCACGCTGCATGATGTTTATGAGAACAAAACTGATGTCATTCTTATTCTGGAACTGTAAGTATCTCTAGAGACCTGGGGAGGAGTAACAGAATATTTGTTTTAAAAAGAAATTAGATACTTTCTCTGAGAATCACAGTGATTTGATGGATGTTCCTTTCATACCCCAAAAGAAGATTGATAATAGTCTGAGAATTATTTATTTTTAAGTCAAAGGTTGTAGCTTCTTTACTTCTAGACATATTTTTCACTGTAAATGCACTACAAGGGTAAAAAAAATGCACTACAAGGGTAAAAAAAAATCCAGCATATTTAGGAATTTTTTCTGCTTGTTACTTTAATCATTGTTGATGTTACGGATCCAGAATAATAGCCTGGAGCTAAATAAACTGATGTGAAGATAAAAGCAGAGGGAAATAGAGATTCTAAGTGGAGGTTAGTTTAGCAAATTTTACTGTGTTTTATGTTGGTGTAAAGTAGAATCACTGAATGCTTTTTCTCTTTTTTTATTTTAACCCACGTAACAGAGAACAGGATTTTCCCTGTTCTGTCCTGTTGAAATGTAAACTGAACTTTCATATCCTTGTTTTAGTTCCCATTTTTCATCCAAGATTGTTGCTAATGGATTGGGGTAAATATGTTGGCAGAGAACACTTCTGCATTGTTTCAAGTGCATTGTTTCACTTGACTTCAAGTTCCTCAAAGATTGCAAGTTTAGGAGTCAAGCATTACTCACCCATTACAGTTTGGCAGTATCTGCTGGTGGGATATGCATGTCTTGACATTATTTGCATGCCTGACACTGTATTATTGCCATACTGCTCTGTATCAGTTAAATGTGTTTTAGGATAAGTATTTTGTGCAAGTAAATGATTTGGTACCGGAATCTTGGGCAGCACTTGTGTCTTTTCCATGTCAGTTCATGTAATTTTTCTTATGTAGGTTATGTCTTCCTGTTTATTAACTTTGGTAAATGATATTTCCACTTACCTTACGAGGATGCTTTTTTGTTGCGTGCCTCCAGTAACATATTTGTAGATTTACAGTATAGATTTAAAAAGAAAACTGGGAAGTAGCTTTTGGAGTTTCATCTTTTCTATGGTATATACATGGATGATACTGCTTTGTTATATTAGAAATACTTTTACACTTCTAGTCCAGCATGTGACTGTTTACTGTAATACTTGTAATCTTGGTTGATTTTTTTCAGTATACACTTGCATTAGTTTGTCACCTTTGGATAATTTAAGCAAGTAATTTTTTAAAAAAGCTAAATGATCATCCTGCATGAAGTAAAACTTCCTTATATTCCTGTCAGAATATCTGCTACTCCTGAGTTTTGTTCAGAACTCTTTAAACATGTCGTGAATATACAGCAAAATTAGTGGGATATGTCTTCCTCTCCCCACTTGATATTATCTCTCACATTCTTCCTGTCTATAACCTTTCTGTCAGTGTATCGCTGCTTCTGCAGTGCTTGCTTTCTACTCTGTAATCTGTCCAGGTGAAATTAGGCCAGTGTCTGGACTTGAAAGCTCTGAGGAAGGCTCAATAATCATGGACAGCGGTAGGAGGAGTAGGGCTATTCCACCACACACACTTGCCCATGAGATAGGAGCTCTTTTAGCAGCAAGGTTCCTCTGTGTGTTTATGCGTACCCACTAACAGTCATTAAATGGAAACAGAGATTGCTTCTGACAACATGTGTTAATATTTTGTTAGCTTGATAGTGTGAAGCTCAGCAAACTATTTGCATTGCAATGTAGCTAATCATTTTGTGTAGTTAAGAATCCCCATGTTGTTTCAGTTGGAGACCTTTTTTTTCCCCCCCCCCACTTTTCCAAGCTGCTGTGTGAGTCTTTCAAGTTGAAGTATCACAAAGGTAACGCATTTATTTAGTTAGAAGGTCAAAGAGGAAAACATGACACATTAGCAGTCCCTTTGTAAACTGAATATAGTAATTGCTGTAAAGTTGTGTAATTCTCAAAATCACTATGATATTATGTAATGTGACTGAAAAGGCAGAAGATACTCTATTTAATCATATGCTTAGACACTTAAATGTGTGATCCCTTTCTTTTAAGCTTTTAATATTCACATTTTGCCTAGGCACCCGCTGAAAGCTCACCAAATAACCTGTTTTGCTGTTCTCAGAATCCATCCTAAGTGATGATTTTCCCTTCTAATTAGAATGTAGTATGCAAGCGTATTAATACGAGCAGTGATGAGGAAAAGTATCTCTGGTTTCTGTTCTTGGTAGAAGCTGCAGCTCACAGGCATCAAGCCACTGCAGCTGCCCCTTTGGTGGCTGCTAGTAGATGTTAACATGCACAGTCTTGGGGCAACAGCGTCTGTTGCCTTTTTGCTGTTGATTTTTATCTCTTGGTTCACCAAGAGGTTTGCAGTACTGTGTGCAGCCTCCTAAACATTTTTCTGCTTTATTAGTCAGCTGTTTCTCAGAAGTGAGCGACTGGCTGTAGAAGTTTCCCTTCATTCCCTTGCAGCAAATATTATGTCAGCCAGCAAGGTATTCAAGGTGATTTGTATGCAGTTCATTAATTATTGCAGTGGCAATGTCCTCACAACATGGAATGCAAAACAGAGCTGCATATCAAAAACTTTATCCAGATAGGTGTTTGGAGGTTTTCCTCTCAACTACCTTATGTCAGGAAACTGACCTATCAAAATTTAAAAATCATTTAATTTCTGAAACATTTAAAATCAAAGGCTTTCTTAAAAGATTCGCAGTTGCACACAAGCATGAGATATTCTTGAAGACCCTTACTTTATTACAGTCTTTTGGTATATTTAATCAGGCATATTGTCATATTTCTATGTCTGTCTTAGTGGGAAGTGTCTCAATTTGGAAATAACCTTTGAAATTCCTACTCTGTGGACTTTTTCATCATCTTGCAAGGAATATTGTGCATATTACATATGAATTGGAAGACACTATGTCTTCCTCATCTAAATTAAAACAGTAATACTTTGTTCTCCCATCACACAAATAATTGAATTAGTCAGAATTTTATAGTACTTTTTTTCTATCCAGCTGCAGCAACTAATCTCTGTTATATGCTGGTAATGCTAAGCTATTTCCAGAGAGCGCCGCTGAAGCCATCAGTTTATTAGACATCACAGTGATGCCTCTGTTGCATAGTGATCATTATTTTATTTCCTCAAGCACATTTTGCACCTACTTGGTTCCCTTTTCACTGGCCTGCTGGTAACCTTGGATGCGTAATCTCTGTCTCTTCTATTTTTTTCTTTCCACTTTATTAAATTATATCTTCATTTGGACTGCAGACTTACAGAATGTACTCACTGTGTTATGCTTGGTTGTAGCTTCTGGGTGCACCTGCAAAGAATAAATACCCTTATCCTAAATTATATAGTAATTCCTTAGAATCCTCAAAAGTAATGCAAATGGTATCACCTTTTAAAATAGCTTGATAGCAATAGCTGACTCTTTTCACTGGAAAGCTATGGATGGAGTTAAGTATTCATACTTTTCTCTGCAAAACAAATACCTTCATTTCTGAATTAGAAATCTTAATTTAAGACTGTTAGCTCTCATAGCATAGTTCTGAGTCATGAATATGTGCTTTTAGAATTCAAAAAAGGAGAAGAAAGCTTTGAAAGTCTTAGCTCAGAAAAAGAGGAATAATATTAACTTACAAGTGATTGTGCATTAAATACTAGGGTTTATGATTTTTTAAAATGTTAGTTCCTGTATACTTTTTTTTTTTTAAATTTAGGCTGTACATCCCGGTGTCTCAGAAAGAGTTGCCACCTTATTGGTACCTTCATAATATTGATCAAACAGAATAGAGCAAGGAAAGGATGGTAGATCCATGTATAAAAATTCTGATAATGTTGTGACTTGCTCATTGTAGAGTAAATTACAGAATTGTAGAGTAGTACTCTACAGAATTGTAGAGTAAAAAACCAGAATGGTAGGGGTTAGAAGGGGCCTCTGGAGATCATCTAGTCCAACCCCCCTGCTGAAGGAGGATCACCCAGAGCAGGTTGCACAGGATTGTGTCCAGGCAGGTTCTGAGTATCTCCAGAGAAGGAGACTCTAAAACTTCTCTGGGCAGACCCTTCCCGTGGCAGCAGCCTCTTCCAGTGCTCTGGCACCCTCAGAGTGAAGAAGTTTTTCCTCATGTTCAGATGGAACTTCCTGTGTTCCAGTTTGTGCCCATTGTCCCTTGTCCTGTCACTGGGCACCACTGAAAAGAGTCTGGCCCCATCCTCTTGACATCCACCCTTTAGATATTTATAAGTATTGATGAGATGCCCTCTCAGTCTTCTCTTCTCCAGACTAAACAGACCCAGCTCTCTCAGCCTTTCCTCCTACGAGAGATGCTCCAGTCCCTTAATCATCCTCGTAGCCCTCCCCTGGACTCTCTCCAGTAGTTCCCTGTCTTTCTTGAACTGGGGAGCCCAGACCTGGACGCAGAACTCCAGATGTGGCCTCACCAGGGCAGAGTAGAGGGGGAGGAGAACCTCCCTCGACCTGCTGGCCACACTCTTCCTAATGTGCCCCAGGATGCCATTGGCCTTCTTGGCCACAAGGGCACACTGCTGGCTCATGGAGAGCTTGTTGTCCACCAGGACTCCGAGGCCCTTCTCCACAGTGCTGCTTTCCAAGTAACAGCAAATAAGGATGAACTCTTTAAATTCCTCTTCTATCTTATTGGGGAGTTAATGTAACTTGTTACATTTCTAATAGCTTGACTTCCAGAGAAGCTTGAAATCTGCACAGAGTTTCTTTACTTTTTAGTTGTCTTTTTGATAGAAGTAGCTCAGAGGTTTTTATTAATTTTACTTATAAGAAAGTTGTTCTAAAGTGGCCTTGTACTGACTATTGAGAGGAGGATTGAATCTTCGGTGTTTACTTGGATGTAGCAGCAGGTAAGCAAGCTCTGCACCGCTAATTTGTACATGCTGTGCCACCTTTTCACTTCAGAATCCTCAATAGTAGGCCCACAGGTAGATGGACAGAGGACACATAAACAGGTAAGAATGAAGGCTTGACAGGGCTGAAAAGAAAG